GATCACCTGCCTCTTGATGCCAAGGGGATTTGTGTCCCCTGCTAGACCTGAAGCCTGCACCTCAGGCCAAGACTCCTTGGATAAGATCTAGACCTTTCTCAGAAAGACTGAGGGTTTAAGTCTGTAGTCTGTGTAGTGTGCTCTGTGGGTGTCAGTCTGCTAAGAACTGTCTGTCAGACTGTGACAGTCCCCTGGGACCCAGGGATACAAGTCCCCCTGGCCTCAAGAGGCAGGTGATCGAGGGGTGTCCCATGGGAGGCAGCAGAAAAAAACATGTCCCCAGATGTATTGTAGTAGCTGAGGCAGCAAACGTGTGTAGGAGTTCCGCCTCTTGGAGATGCCGGCCCTCTGGAGCCCGCGACGGCAGCGCTCACTGGCTGGGGCAAAGCAGAGGAAGAGTGCAAAAGGTGGCAATCTCTGAAACAGAGACAAAAAGAAGAAAAGAAGAAGAAAAAAAATGCCCCCCTCTGGCTTTAGTAAGGCAGAGGGAGAAAAGGAATATGGCACTTAGCAGCCTCCATAGAGTGTGTAGGAGTATAAGATTTTTCCAAATAACTATAGTAGCTGGCATAATGTGACACATGTCTCAGAAGCAAGAGTGCTACAGTGGCATATTAGTGGGATCAAACACATCTGGTTTAGTGTATTGGTCCTTTTGAAGGAAGTAGCAAAAGAGAAGGGCCTCCAGGAATCAGTAGCACATCAGCAGGGAGAATTTGGGGAGGGCATTCCTGAAGAGTAGAAAAATGTTTTCAAGGCCCAGAAGATATATTAATGTTTTGAGGACCCCGAAAGTACTTTATTTTCACTTAATAATAGCCCTAGATGGTTTATATGAGATGAGATTCATGGGATCCATTATGTTCAATAGCCAAGATTTTAAAAGTATTTCCTCCTTTTCATCATAACCTCTTTAGAGAAGTGCTTATTCTCTCCTATTGGCTATATTTAACTTCCTAAGTAGAACACCTTAAAAAACATCTTACAATCAACCTGTAGTGTTGAGTACAGTATTGTGAACTTTCACCTTTAAGACAATTAGTTTTCAAATCACTTGTCTTAACCTTAAGAAGAAAAATAACATTATATGCCAAGATAAAATCTTTTTTTGTTGATCAATTTTAAACAGATAATTTAAAAGCCATTTTAGAAACTATTTTATGAGGCATATGCAAAAAATTGAATAGGCAGCAATAGCATGTCCTTATATTCAAAAGTATTCCGTACTCACACATGCGCTCTTTCTAAAGGACATACTCTTTCCATTTTTTACTTGCACATCTCAAAGGAGAGATAAATTGTTCCAATATACTTACACATTCTTGTAAAAAAAAAGTGGTGTGGCTTCACAAAATTATGTTTTTAAGTTGGTTGAAAAGTTTATACCTTTTCCATAATTGCTGGAAAATAATGTATATTCTTCAGTGTTCTATACATGTCCATTAAGACATGTGTGTTAATTGGGCACATCTGCTCTATTCTGATCTTTTTTTCTCTAATCTGTCAATTAATGAGAGATGTTTGTTAAAACCTCTTACTAAAATGGTGCACTTTGAATTTCCCTTTGCAGGTCTATCAAGTTTTACTTTATAGAGTCTCAAGATAGAATAATACTATGTCTTACATATAAGCTTAGAAATGAGGATAGTGATTAAAAGTGTTACCAATGTTTTTATCCTCATTTCTTTGGTAGACTGTTTTGTATTAAAGTATAAATACACTTTATTAATATGATTAATCCAGTTTTCCTATGGTGGATATTGTCCTGGTATATATTTTACCTTCATTTTTACTTCAAGCCTTCCTATGTTTTTAGTTTTAGGTGTTCCTTTTTTGAACACAATGTAGCTAGTCATTGAAGATATTTAAATACAATCCAGCAACAGTGATCTTTTCAGTCCATTTACATTTAATATTAGACAACAATGTCTAGATTTAGTTATATCATATTATAGGCAATATTCCCACTTTGCTGTTTCTTTTATCCTTTTTCCCTTTTTAATCTTGTTGAATTGATTGCATTTTACCACATTGCAATTATTCCCTCTACTTGGTTTAGACTAGGGGTCAGCAAACTACAGCCTATGTGCCAAATCCCATCCACCAATTGTTTTTGTAAACAAGGTTTTATTGAAATACAGCTACATATATTGTGCATATTGTATAAGGCTGCTTTCACACTACAGCAGCAGAGTTGAGTCACTGTGTCAGAAACACAGAACCTAAAATATTTACTATCAGGTAGTTTACAGAAAAACTTTGCCAACCCACAAAATACATACTATTTTGTGTTCTGAAGTTGAGTCTAATTTAATCATTGTCATCGAATAAAATGCAAAACCTATATTTCCAACCATCTACCTTTCATCCTACATTTTATAGTCATACTGTATTTTACCATATTTAACCCAATTGAATGCTATTTAACTCTTTTGCTTTTTAAAACAATTATATACATTATTATTTATGTCTGCACTCATGTTTACCACTTTGTTGCTCATCATTCTGGGGTTAATTTTCTTTCTTCCTGAGGTATAATCTTCAGCATTTGCTTTCTGTTGATGGTACCTTTTCTTTCAGTTTTATTTTCCTTAGGTTATCGTTTTATTTTGCCCTAATTTTTGAAATAACGTTGCTGGATACACAATTCTAAATGATAGTTATTTTTCCTTAGCAGTTTGAAGGTAGTCATTACCTGTTGACTGACTTCCAAGTTCAGAAGTCAGCTTTTATTAAGAGGTCAGCTTTAGTCCAAAAAATGTCCCTAATTCTCTAGAATACTGATTAAGTGGATGTTAGAACTCCCTTTGGTCCCCATGTACTTCAAGTTCTTTTAGATTTTCCATCACTTTGTATGTCTCAATGCTCCCTTCTGGATGATTTTTTCAGATCTATCTTGCAGCACACTATTTTTTTCTCATCAGTGTCATCGAAGTCACTATTTTACACATCCCATAAAGTTTAAGTATTATATTTTTTACCTTTCCAGAGGTTGTAGTGGTTAATTTAAAATATTTCACATTCATGTTTCAATTCTCTCTTCTTTAAAATACATACAAATATACTTATTTGTAATAAGTGTATGTGTGTGTTTCATTAAAGAAAGCATAAAGATAAAATCTACATTTTACTGGCTTTGTGATTCAAAGTAGAGAATTATTTTCCCATTTGAGCTTTTTCTATAGGTATTTGTAGGAAAATAAACACAGTCTAGCTTTTTAAGTAAGTTCTATTTTATCTCACCATGTAGTAGGAGCCACAATGAACTGGGGGAAAAATTGTTCACACCCAATTACACAATTAAGTTTAGGTCCTGTTTCCAGACTGGTTAAGCCTTGAGGATGTTTATTGTAGTATTACATCTTTCATCTTCCCATCTTTAAGTTGAGGCTGTAGTGCCCATCCTTTCTCCACTGTGTATATACACAGACCTTGAGGCTAACTAGATTTGAGGTTAGCTGCTGCTGTCAAATTGAAACTAATATGCAAAGGTCAAAGTGCATGAAATTTCTAAAATTTCTTAGTCATTTTTAAAGGCTATATCTAATCTGGTTTCTCCTGTCTTTAAAATCCCCATCTTTCAAACAGCCTTTAAAAAATATTACAACAGCAGACTTTGAAGTAATTTTTGCAGAACCTTTGCTCTTTTTAAACTGTAAATTTAGATAGTCACTTTTCTGCCTAAATAAGAATACTGGCAGTGACTGTTCCTTTCCCTACTTTCTTCAATTATGATCTTAACCAAACTTGATAAAATACAGATGTAGAGATATATATTTAGCAATGGCCATGCTTTATCGGGAAAGGCATCTTCACTTCTAACTTTAAAAAGTTCCAGGCCAAAGAAAAAGCCAAGAGAATACGTAGAAGAAGAGGTAACCCGAGATGGAAATTGGATGATAGATTGAGCACTTGAATGAATGGTTATGAGACAGTGACTTGTGTTTGTGTTCTTCTGCCTTGAATGGAGCTGCAGCATGAGCTAATTATTCATTGTAAATGTCTTGGGAGATGATATTTGCCAGACTGTATAGTAGCCAGTAGACTCTGGCTCAGATTCTATGATGGTAAGACAGGGATTATAAAATGACAGTTCTTTACTTGAGAAAAAATTAATTTTGGATTTTCTTTCTTGTGTTTTCTTATTTCTTCAGTTCAACATATTTATTTTTTGCCTTAGTTTTAAAAAACTTGAATATTAGTGTTTTATACACTTCTATTTTCAACAAGGATTAGGGCCATGTTACAAAACAAAAATGCATATAAAGCAGAAAAATTTAAAACAAACACACAACAAACAAGTCAATACATAACTAGCAAAAAATATCTGAGTAGATTGGATCCTATTAAAATAATCCAAGTTATTCTGATTTCTAGTAATACCTTGAGTACAACCAAAGTAATAGTTATTTGAGAATAATGTGACTGGACGTGTGTGCATGTGTGTGTGTGTGTGTGTAGAGGGTGCCAAAAACATGTATACACATTTTAAGAAAGTAAAATCTGTATTAAAATTGTAATACTCAATATAGACCAATAACAAAAGATGAATACAAGTCACATTTGACTTCTGTAATTATAAGATGTGCTCAAAGTGGTTACTATCAGCATAATTTTAATACAGTTTTTTCCTTTCTTAAAATGTGTATACATTTTTTTGGCACCCTGTGTGTGTGTGTGTGTAATTTGAGAAAATGTGAAAATGCCAATGCCAATAGTCTTTCTTCAGTGAAAGAGAACAAGGGAGGTATTTTCCCATTATAATCATTTTTTTTTGCTACTTAAAGAGTATCTTTGTTGTTTAAACAGATTAAGAAAATATTTATTTCATGGATTTTTTATTTGTCCATTAATAACAACACAAAAACTAGTTTTGACAATGAAAAACATCATAAAGAACCATGTAACCCAAACAGCTTATACCTGATAAAGTCTCAATTTATGACACACTTACATTTTGTACCCTTCTTAAATAAAGAGTCAAATCAAGAAGCACAATAGAAACTAGCATCACAAGTTTAATATCTTTTAAAATATAGAATTACATTTAAACAGCACATTTAAAGATAATATAATAGACTTCTGTTTCTTATTCTTACAATGGTACACCATTAATTGAAAAATATATTACTTAATGTAACCCCCAATATAGTTATTATCAATTTTTTAAGATAAACTGTATTTTAAAACAACATTGCAATACACCTGAATTACAAACAAACCCATAACGTTTTTGAGCCATTTCTGATATGTTTTATTTGAAAGATTCACAAGGGTAGTTAATAAATGGTGCTTTATGAATATTTTTAGATGCACTATAAATAGGCCTAACCGTGGAGCCACCATAAATAGCAAGTTATCCATCTAAATGTCATTCTTCAAGAAATCAGTGTGTGTCAAAGACAAGCCATAGAAGGCAGAGATAGAAGCAGAGAAAGAAAATAAATTAATTTCAGAGGGAAGAACACACATGTACATACACACAACAGAACCTTCCCATTTGGAATTATTTGTGCTTGGAGGAGGGCTTACAAAATCCCCTTACAAAAAATAAGGTTTTCATTGAGCTCAGTCTCAAAGATATGAAAAATGGATTTCAGCTGTTCTTTCAAAATGGCAATTCTGTCAAAGCCATTCTGGGATTTTTGGTAATTTCCTCCAGTTTAGTTTCAGTGCTTTTACCCTAAATAAAATCCCTTGCATCACATCAATCAGCAGACTCAGTTATAAAGGAGAGCTAAAGAAAATGGCTCTGTCGGCATCTTTGCTCCGCTATATTTTATGCATGCAGTGACTCTTGTCTGCGGGGAGGGACGTGGAGCACATGTAAATGTTTCTTTATTTTGGACTCCTTTTAAATCAGAAAAAAAAAATCTGCAGCAGTAGTGTTCTAGATAATAGGCAGACATGATTTATTTGAGGTAAGAAGGTTGTACTACAATTTTTTAGTGTTAACTTGGAAAGTTATGGACACAGGCTCAAGCCTGTCTCCACAGAATTCCTGAAGCTTTGAGCTCTTTGCAAAATCTACAGTCCACAAGCCAAGAAGGAACATGCTCCTACAGTTACACCAATTCTGTTAAAGCAAACAGTTATAACAATTATGTGCAATCTTTCAGATTCTGTGTTCTGCCTACCGTTTATTTATTCAAATCCAGTTCAACATTTCACTTTATCTAATGAAGCAGAAACTCGAAAAGAAAAATTGTGTTTGTCCAAGCATTTTTGTTTTTGGGGGTTTTTTTTTAAGTTTTATTTCTAAATAAGTATCCTATCATGGTTTTCACTGGCACAACATAACGAAATGCATTCAATTTCCTTCAACAATATTTAACAGTCAAAGGAGTTCTGTCAAATTTCAGAAAATTATATGAAAAAAAATTGTATTAGGAAAAAAATGTTGAAATGGAATTGAATTGGACTTAGCATATCCCACTGAAAGTTAGACTGGGCAATCTGTTGTATAATGTAGTGAGCTACAAAGTAGATTTTATTGATAAGGCATCCACAAAGGAGAATATATACCTTTAAATAAATAAAAGTGGCTATATACATGACATTGTACATGGGTAGAGAGATGAAATGAGCCAGACTAATTTTACAAAATTCTCCTTTTGTCGGAAAGTACACTTTTTATTGTAGTCATAAAACGTAATACAGATCTTTTTTTCTTGTTGCCATTATAATTTACTACTAGTGGCAGCCACATGAGCGCACGACCATATTTCTGTATTTTTTCAAAATGACATTGGAGCTGTCATCGAAGTACAGTACAGAGATGGGGTTCAATTTGGTTGGAGCACAACAAGGTTTTGGTACGTGGTCAGGAAACATCAGATGAACCTGGGAAAGAAAAACAAGGTTTTGTTTCTTTAAGAAATAAGGTAGACATTTTATCTGCAGCTTTAAAATAATATGCTTGTTTTACCACTCACACCCTGAAGCTGAGGGCCATTCTGCTCTTTATGTTCAACGGCTGGGGTAGTGTGAGGGGCTGGTAGGGAAGGATGTATTATTAAGCATTAACACCTAGAATCAAACCGTCAGTTCTAATTATGTGTTGAGGCCTTAAAAAATGTAAGGAAAACCCCCTTTATGGAATAGTCAATTGTCCTGGGGGAAAGGAACGACAACTAGCACAGAGTTGCTTTGGGTTAAAAATACTCCTATTTAATTTATGAGAAACACAGATGTGATCAATGCAAATCAATAAAGATACATAATATGACTATAGAAAGATTTGGATCTAAGAATTATTTTTAAAAAGGATAATTAAACAATAACTCATAAAAGTTATGCCAACTCTTAATTTTCCATGGTAAGAGAAGTTTAAAAAATTTCAACAAAATAAGCCCCAGTTATAATCCAATGCTTGCTTAAAAGCAATGATTTCAACTCTTCTCCACAGAATTTTTAGTCCATTGGCTGGAGTTTAATATTGTTTTACTTTCTTTCTCCCCTAGACAAGCACCCAAAAGCAGGCTAAGCTAAAGCAGAAGTAAAGAATCTACATAGTTCACAAATTGAATATCTACTCCCCCGAAAGCCTAAAAAGGTGGCTACACCTGGAAAGTGAAGTGCTGAAGTAAAGTGTTGCTTCTCCTTTTGATCAGGCTGGCAGCCTGCCGATGATTTGCAATAATTGAGCCCCGAGCCAGAAAAATTGTTTCCCCTTTCCCACCCACCCACCAGAGTCTGTCCCCCAAAGGAGTTTATGGGAAGTCCCATTGATAAGTCCTAAGGGATCTACGAAACCTGAATATAGCCTCTTAGAGTTTGGCTGCACAATGTCCTGGCTGAAATGATAGAAGAGCCCTGCATTGTGGACAGAAACAGCAGGAAAAATGAGGTGATCGGACATGCACATGAAATTTCCTAAGACCTCACAAAACTTCAAGTTGGATAGCTTCTAAAAATTTTCAGATGCAGCTTATGTCCCTCATCAGTTTTATCTTCCATAAACCCCACATACATGATTGATAACCCCATTTCAATGGCCTTGGCAGCCTCAACAAGCAGTTGCTCTGGAGAAAAAAAAAGGAATGGTTTCTCAAACATATTAGTCACAAACATGGTTTCCTTTAACAACAAACATGCCTGTCTTCTTGTTTCATGTCCTTCACAGAACAAATGTAGACAGTGCACAACGCCAGGAAAAAAAAAATGTTTTTCATGTACGCTTCAAGTTTTGCGATGACTTATGTCCCACATCCCAGGACAGTGATGCGGAGCAGAGTCTTGTTCCAAGTGCATGTCAGACTTTTTTTTTTAATGTTCGTTTTTTGACACTGCCTTCTAGACTACAGCCCTAAAAGCTAACAACATGTAATTACATATTATGAGAAAAAAGAAGAAAAAGAAAATTGAGAGAAAGAGGTAGTATTTGGCAGAGTTTTTTCAACAATCAAGCATTGCCTACCCTGAAGGAAAGTTTGATGCGTTAGATACATATCTCAGGAAGCAAAAGTCTATTTTCTGAGTCATTGAAATGACAGTAAAGAGAGGCAAATAATTTTCTGAGAAATAAAGTGGCATTTTTCTGTAAGCTAAGAGTGTCGATTCGTCTCTTACCCTACAGAAAGACAGTGAACATGGCTGTCCCTTTAAGGCAAGAAACAGCCGCATTCCTCTCTATGAGATCAGCAGTCAGTCAATCTGAGTTCTCCTAGACAAGGAGAAAAGGCTAGACTTCATAGAGATTATTTTTCTTTTACCAGTGGAAGTTGGAATATAGCACACCCATCCTTGCAGAACATACCTGCTCCCCATCCTTCAGTAATGATACCCTGTATCAAGGAGTACTTATCTTTATAGATAGTAAAGATGAAGACATATCAAACCTGAAAATTTCCCCAGGAATTGACTCTATACTTTGTATATGGCATATGTTTTATCTCTCTGTTTCTTTTACACCAATGATTTCCAAAGTTTCTGACAATGCCCCGTGCTCTAATTGTCATAGATGTGTTTGGTGTCTAGCTGTTCTGAAGTACCTATGAAGTCAGTGAAGATGCTGGCAAAACCTCAAGTCATTCAAGAACTTAATCTGTCAATTTATATACACACCATTCCTTACTCGGACACAAAGTGAGATGCTCTTCCAATCAGTTATAAATCAATTGTGAAAAAAATATGTAACCTTCTGAAGATTCAATGCCTCAAAATTCTAATAGTTCCTCTCTCTCTCTCGTCGTAAACAAGCCTTGCTCACAGAGACATATTTTTATTCTAATAGCTACTGCTGTCTTACTGCCATCTACCAAATAGCTCCATTCCCATTTTTAAGTCTGGAGTTAAAATAATATGTTTTCTTATTTCTCTGCTAACTATATATAGTTCAAATTTTCATATTAACCCAAACATTAATTTGGAATTATATCACATAATCTATTGCACATTCTAGGAGCCTCTCACTTACTCTTCCAGAGGTGGTCCCTCTCCAATACCCTAAGTCACACACCATAGTGGGTACATCAGACTTCAAGAGGTTTCATGAGCTCATTAAATACAGTACAACCATTTAGAGACCATGAAATCAACATATCATTATCTTTTTTCACAAAAATAAGCCTAGGTTATTACACAGTAAATCATTTCTAAATTCTTGTGTGTGGAAGGGGCAAAAATGAAGATTCATTTCCACCATAAAGATTATGAGAAAAAAAAGGTATCGAGAAATAGACATTTGTATTCTACTTATATTCTAGTTGAAGAGCTTTCATAATGCCACAGTGTGTTATGTGTCATCCTTAAATAATTACAGTAACGTGCTCAGATGAAATTCAGTATAGTTATTATTCAATGATTTTGCAATGATTACTAATGAATTGCTAGGTTAGAAATAGATGCTGGGGACCTGTGTGTTTAGTCATATTGCATAGTGAAGAAATCAGGGCAGAGTGACCACCTCATTTGATTGCTACAATGTTCCTACCTGAATCCTTCCCCATTCTGGAATCAGGATTATTTCTTAAACCAGCCTAAATTTCATGACTCTACCCACAATTTGTTACCAAAAAGTACCAAAGGAGTTCGAGAAGAATATTCCTTTAGAATAACTTTATATGATTCTTGCATCACAAAGCATTTCCAATCCTACTAAAACAGAGCATACCAGAGTTTGGACTATGGCATGGTTGGTGGCATTCATATGGGCATTGAGTGGAAAAGAACATTCTCCATCACAATAAAATGCAGCATATCCTTCTGGGGCTATAATCCAGTCCTAAAATGCACACATACACACACAAAAAAAAACAAAAAAAAAGAAGAAGAAGAAAAAGTTAATATAAACAAAAAATAAATTTTAAAAATAAATATATTTAATCTGTATAAGTTTCTTTCTCGTCTTGGTCTAACAATTACTCTAATCAGATAGCCTCCCCAAAGCCCTTAATTTATTTTTAAGTTGATGTCTACAACAAAAGTATAAATATTTTCACAAGAAATTGTCCTCTGTAATTTCTCCCAAGAGGTTGTTATGTACGATATTCATAGCATGCATTAATCCATGCATTCATGAATAAAATCATAATCATGATATAGTATTCTAAATATTATTTAAACAGGAAATGATGAACTTGGGAAAGTTCAAGTGAACCAGAAAAAAAAAGAATAAACTTAAGATAAACCTCATTACTTCTTAATAACTCATTCCTGGTTTTAGAAGCTTGACAACCTCCTAAAGCTTTAATATTTATTCCTTGTGCTATTTTTCTTTTCATTCATGCGTTAACTTTAGTCTTGTTAGAAGAAATGAATTGGAGCAAATTCCTGAAAACTGTACATGAAAATTTTTAGGAAGCTAAAAATTTGGCACATGTAACGGTTGCCCTAAATTTTTTCCCAAACAGGTAAAACTTGGCCCAAATGTAAAATTATTGAATGATTCATGTTGAAGGTTTATCATAAATTTGAAAAGTTTACATTTTAATATTACTTCTGAAAAATGAATACTAAATTAATATTAATCTGAAAAATTAGCATTAAAATTAAAAGTGTGATAATTAAACAATAGCACCTTTTCATTTCCTAAATATAGGGTTACGTTACTTTTCAACATAGTTGTTTTTTTAACTGTAAAACCTAATAATTATGTTTCAATGATGAAGGATAATGGAGAAATTACCTATCTGTGGATAACCCATATACTGAATAGTCATGTTAAAAATAAATCAGTTGCAGTATTAGAAAAATCACTGACAAAGATAACAAGTAACTGAGGATTTCTCATAAAGTAGGAAAGAAGCACCTAAATTGTCTGCACATTCTTACCTGCCATCCCAAATCCCGGAAACTCACATAGAGTTCATGCTTCTTACAGGCTTGTTTTTGCTCACTTGTATTATAATCTGAAGATAAACATAAGACTTTTAAACAAGTAGCACCTTACAGGGTTTACTAATATTTCCTTTGTGAAATCACTGATAAAAAAGAGGCTGTATTTGAAGTTGTAAAATATGAGTTTGAATCTTAAAGCTAGAGCAACTTACCAACCATGTGAACTTCAGGCAAGTCACTTGCCCTGAGTTACTTATTCTGTAAAATGTAGACAATACCATTTACCTTCTGGAATTCTAACATGGATTTTGGTAGACCCCCTGCATGCTGATGCCTGATGCCTGCCACTCATTGAATACTCCTTAATGCTGCTTAATGAATGCTCATTCATTAATTTGTGCACATTATAATGACATTTAATATATTTATATATACCTTTATATATTAAATATTCATACAATATTTTTTAACATCTTCCATGAGGTATACACTGGGAAAATACCAACTGGAATCATACTGAGTTGATTTTAAAAATTATTTTAAGCTCAAGGTGCCCAAAGTTGGCTTCTTAATCATCCTCCCAAAACCTGTCACACCTGTAGACTTCTCCATTCTCGACTGATGGCAGCTTCCCAGTTTTATATAAAAAAAAAATTATAAAAAATAAACAAGTAGTTTGGAGTAAAAACATACTCTCTCTTTTTTTTTCCCCTCACTCTCACATCCAATCTTCTAGGAAATCCCACACACTTTACCTTCAAATATGTCCAAAATCTACCCACTCTCACCGCCTTCATCCCTGGTCCTCATCCAAGCTTCCATTATTCTCACCTGAATTACTGCAATATCCTCACTAATATTCTCCCTGCTTCTGTCCTGGCTCCCCTACAATAAAGAACATCCAAGTGGACCTTTTTATGAGTCAATTGAATCATATCACTTCCCAGGAAAAATTCCCATATCCATGAGAATGAAATATCCCCACATTGGCCTATAGGGCTATATGATTTGGCTCCATTATCTCCCTGACTCATGTCTTACTATGCTTCCTCTCATTCACTCCACTTAGGTCATGACACTTCCTTGCTGTTTCTCACAGAGGTAAGCTGTCACCCACCTTAGGGCTTTCACTCTCACTATTCCTTCTCCTTGAATTGCTCTTCCCTTGGATATCTATATATCTAATACCTATAGCGAGTTCAGCTCTTCACTGACTACCCTATCTAAGATTTCTACTCTCACTCCAAATTCCTGTTCTCCCTCCCTTTTGCTCTGATATTTTTTCCATTTCAGTTATCATCTTAATGTGCTATGCCATTTACTCATTCATTATGTACATTGGTTCTTATCTTCTCCTCCTACTAGAATTTCAACTCCACAAGGATAAAAACTTTGGTTCTGTTTGCTTCACAGATACATCTCAAGTGTCAGAAAGAGTGCCTGGCACACAGTAGGTACTCAATAAATATTTGGGGCATTAATGAATGAATTCGTGAGTGTTCTACAAATGATTTGAAGCAAAGGAAATGCATTATTTCCATTACATATTTTGGAATATAAATGAAAAACCCATGACCTCTTATAATTGTTTAAAAGATGTATGAATAAATAGAGAGCCCCAATCTTGCTTCTGGAACAAAATAAAATACCAAAGAAACACAGAACTTTACAGAAAATATATCTATATTGTCTTATTTCAAGTTTGTTCACACTTTACATCAGTTAGAAGCTAATCCATTTTGATTATTTCCAATATGAAATATGAAAGAGGGAAACATTTAGGGTAAGGGAGTCAGCAAGATAATTTATTTTCAAAGAACACGGCTAAGTTTTTCTTCTAGAAATAAATGTGACATTCACTCTGACAGTCCTCTCTGGCAAATCAATGTAGCAGTTTACTATACAAAACAGTGTATCATAAGGTGTCACCTTCCAGATGAATTATCCTCAATCTTTAATGAAAATGTAGACACATCAAAGATCCTAGGAGCTTGTCCTAGTGGGTCCTGTCATCGGCCTTTCACAGTTACTTCAATTAACTATTTATTTAATGTAAGTCTAGAAAATAATAAATGATTCTATTTTGAGCTCATTTTTTCTTCTAGATCAGAGTTATTCCTACTGTGCAATTACCTTCATTGAAACAAATGTGTTCCTAATGATCGAAGATGAAGGAAGGAGAATGTATTTGAAACTCAGCACTCTTATTCTTTGGGTAAACTTATCCCTTTATCAAAATAGTACAGGTTAACTTTGTTTAGGCAATGGACAAGCATACTATAACACTAAGTGCAATAAAGTGAAATGGATAAGTTCCCTGTATCATTTTTAGGGAAAAGGAACATTGATTATGGCATTAATTTGATTGAATAAACTTCTTGATGTTTCAAATTTTAAAAGTCAGTTATGCATTAGACCAGGCATCAGGAATTTTTTTCTTTGAAAAGACAGATAGTAAATATTTTAGGCTTGTAACAACTCAACTTTGCCACTACAACACGAAAGCAGCCATACACAATATGTACATGAATGAATGTGACTATATTCCAATCAAACTTGACTTATAGATACTGAAATTTGAATTTCATATGATTTCTAAATGAAACAAACATTATTCTTCTTTTGCGTCTTTTTCATACATTTAAAAATATAAAAACATTCTCAGCAATTGAGCCAAACAATAAGAGGCAACAGGTTGAATTTGGCTCAGGTCTTACTTTGCCAACTCCTGCACTAGACAATCAGGGGAATATTTATTCTTTTATCCTTGTCTTAATTTAAAACATTGAATATGGATAAAGACATTGTAGCCAATAACACACACAAGTATATGTGAAAAGCCATAAACTATGTATATAGTTATTTGAATTCCTTGTTTATAAAAAAAGAAAGTAAAACTTAAAAGTCAAAATATATCTGTTCCATCTATGCAGCTTTTCATACAAGCTAAGTGATGTATATAATGTAACATCACATAAAGGTAATGAGCAATGAAATTTATAACAGAATCTGGTTCCAAGAGTCTGATTTCATAGAGCGTTAGGACCATATGCTTATTCTGTCAGAAATAAAAATTAATGGATACTGAGTGAAGTAAATGTTGTACCCAAACCAGCAAAGTCTGAAGTTAGGTTTACTATAAATGGTTGGCTGAATAAACTGTGGGAGGAAGGGCAGGGAAATTAGATTTATATCTTTAAAAAAACATTGATTGGCAGCCCTTCAGATATTAAAATGAAATGGACATAATGCTACTGTTGATGAACCTGCCTACAAATGAAGAGTCATGCCAGAAATTACTAAAATGTTCTATTGCCAAAGCCAACACTAGAAAAGTTTGCTAACGTTCCACAACCACAATGCAGGTATCACAAATACAGCATTTCACTGTTTTTGTCTCTTAGTAGTAATAATATTGGGAAGCCAGTGCCGATGTATTGAAAGTATTGTAAAATACTTTATGCCAATTTCTTTATGGTCAACTTCTGAAAAGACTGCAAATTCAATTTTTTTTTAGTTTGATTTTTATAAATTATTTTTTTCTTAGGAAAAATATTGCACACAAACAAAAGTTTATGGAGGTTAGACATGGCTAAAAAAAATTTTGAGATCAATATGGGGCTTCAGTGGTCTGTGCACTAGTTCCTGACAAAACAACCAAACAAATCAACATAGCCTAGGCTCACTATGAAGGGTAGAAAAGAAAATCAATTCCAAAAACTCTATATACTAATATGGGTTTCTTTTTCTTTAAAATCTGGCATTAGCTTCTTAAAGAATGAAATATAGATAAATCTGTAAAAGAAAAAAAATATCCAAAATAGATTATTTTTCCATATGTATATCTAGCATTATGTATATATATATATATATATATATATATATATATATATATATATATATAAAACATCTTTATTAAATTTATTGGGGTGACATTGGTTAGGAGACTTATATAGGTTTCAAGTGTACATTTCTATAATACATCATCTATATATTGCATTGTGGGTTCATCAAAATAGAATTTAACATTTAAGCACATCAACAATGCAAACAAGCCACAGATGAGATGCTGTGTTTCAAAGTAAAAAAGAAGATATTAGCATTCCCATGCCAATTCCCAAAAGTAAAAGGACATAAAGGAAGTCAGTACCTACCGTATGAGGATTTTAAGTAATTTACAGACAATGGAAATGACAAAATGAAGGTACAAGAGATAAAGAAGCAGAAATGGTGCTACAGACTATTCAATAATGTACATTTTGATTTGGCCTTTGGGGGTAGAGAAAGTCATGATAAACTCAAAACAATAACAATCCCCTCCAAAGATTTAAAATCCAAAGATTTTAAAATGTTACTGCTACTTTGGTTTAATCACCATATTCCACACCCAGTGAACTCCTCACTTGAATTTATGCAAAACCCAGTAGGAATTAGAGTGATTTATTTGTGTTGGGATAACTGTTTGCCTCTGTATGAATGTGTGATGCAAAACAGACACCACAAAATAATAAGTATCTGGTGTGTTTGCTTAACTGTGCTAGCAAAGCATCTATGTGAATGACCCAAGGAACATTCTCACCTTAGAGCTCATTGACATAAAAACCTGGTCACAAACCTGAGTGCCAGACTGCCTGCCAGACATCTTCAAATGCAAGTTTCCCAGACGCCTCCTATTCACTAGTTTCACTTCTGACCTCACACTCCTTTGGTGCTTACTATTTTGATTAACAAGATCACCAAATCATCTAAGTGGCCTAAGCCAGAAGATTTAGTAAGTTTCTTGATCTCCTTTCTTTCTCCCTCATATCTTTCGTTAAATCGGCCCATAGTGTTTCACTAAACTGACCCATTTCTACACTAGTTAACCTGTGGGAAGCCCTTTGCCCTCTTGGTTACCTCAAACTTCCTCCACATCTTTTGATAACTTTTTCCTAGTGTAACACTTTATCCCTGCTCTCCTACATCTGACTATGTCTTTTGCCTCTTTCGCGGAATTGCTTTTTCTTCTTAGTCTATACTTGAAGTGTTGATGTTCCCACTGGAGGCTCTGTCTTTTGATGTTTTTCTCTCTGTTTTCTATGGCACTGCCAAGTCCTATGCTTCATCC